CCGTTACCCCTGGATCCGCCACTGGTATCTGTGTGGGCTCTTGGCAGGCTATGCGGGCTCTCAGGTGGCTAGTGGGACTCTCTGTTGGCGTCCAGTGCGGGCTCTGTGGTGATTAAGCACTCACCTCCCCTCACTCCTGCCTGCTCCCCTCTCTCTGATCCTCTCTGGCTACTGCTGCTGCAGCGCCATCTAGGAGAACTGACACTGCTGCGCTAGGAGGGTGCTGAGGAGCCTCTTGCCTAGAGCAGCACAAGGCATGTGGGGACCCCCTCAACTGTGGGTTGCAACCCACTTTTGGGTCGCGACCCACAGGTTGAGAACCACTGCTCGGACCCGGCAGCATACTTTATTCCGCCAGGTAAACGTCCTCTCCTCTCTTGGTGATGGATGCCGGCAGGTATCATTAGGATGGCCGCGCCATCATTCACGTGTGGTGACGTCACGCGCATGCACAATGACGTCACAGCGGGGTGTCAGCCGGTATCCCCTCCGGTGACACCCAGGCTTGGGGCGCCCCTGCTCTCTCCCTCTCTGCTGTAATGGATTGACTTAGCATTCATCTCTACTATCCTCCTACGATCATCTAAGTGAATCTGCACTTCAGACTGAAAACAACTCACGAGTTCAAACCCCCAGTACTGCCTTCACAATCACAAGTATAAATTAAATAAATGTAAATGAAAGTGGGCCACCAGGTCCTTAAAAAGAAGATATTGCGAGATCACTATCTAGGGATTCCAAGACATTCTTTGCTTTGACATTCCTGGACACTCTATTGTTGAAAGGAACATGCTCTATCTCTAGATTATATCCCATGCTCCAATTTAGCTTCCCGGGATCACTATCGAAAATCCAATGTGAAGGAATGGTCTAAATATTTTCCTGATCCCAATATCATTGAACATCTTCTGCAAGTATATTATACCATTAGGAGAGTCTTACTCAACGAGACTTGGAGGGAGACCCAATTCAAGCTACTACACAGAGCTTATCTCCCTTTACATACATACACATATATATATATATATCTATATATACACATACACACACACACACACACCGTATTTTCGCTCCATAAGGTGCATCGGACCGGTCAGTTAATGACCGCTGAGACAGGTGGCGCTCTGATTACAGCGCCACCGTCTCAGTGATCACACAGAGCAGACGAAGAACGTCCGTTCTTCGTCTGCTCTATCTAGGGGCTCTATGGTGATCTTGATCGCCGCCGCCTGGTTTTAATACGGGTGATCGGATTAGATCACTCGTATTAAACGAGCAGTGGCTCCTATTGTACATTTAGCTCTGCTTTAGCAGGTCTAAATGTACAAAAAACTATGCCTGGCACCCAAAATTGCATTTCCTGGGCGTCGGGTGATAGGGATTTGCTTCATACGACGCACACACATTTTCCCCCGCCTTTTGGGGGGAAAAAAGTGCGTCTTATGGAGCGAAAAATATGGTATATAAAAAACACACACTTTATAATATTAGGAAATTAATCAAATAAAAAGTTAAACAATGGTGAATAATGTAAAAAAAAAAAGTACATCTATATGACCATATTGTAAATCTCTGCAAATATACCGAAGTAAAAATATTTTTCTAGCTTTTAAAATGAGGTCAAGCCCTCAGTATGCTTATGCAATCCTCAGGCAGACCTGACAATCACAAATGACAACTACTGTATAATAAGCAATTTGATGAGTTCTTTGGATTTACTCTTCCTACATTGGTTACTAAATCACTGTTGTAGCTTATTGGTCTCTTACCTCAGCCAAAACAGCCAGGACATTAATAGAGCTCATCGTAAATGCAAAAACCTGATAATCAAATATGCCATGCGGCCCAGCGGAGTCAAAGAAAGCAAAATAAGAAACAAAGAACATGACCAAAGAAGTGTAAAAGCCATATAGGACGTGCACAAAGATCCTCAGGCCCAGGTGCCTGTCCTTCTGACCAGTCATGTACAGCTCTGGATGTTGACGACTGCCCTTGCCATCTGTATCCTGAAAAAAATAAAATACATTGTTTAAAAGTCATATTCAGGGAACTGGACTCCCTTGTCTTTTTAGTAATACAGAAGTTGAGCCTCCCTCCATCTTCTGTTCTGCCCCTTCCCACCTGCAATCTAGATATTAACAATTTCTTTGCATAATGTTACGTGCCAAAGACACATAAATATACAGTTTCTCCTTTGAGAGCCATCAACTAACACGTCACGCGGCTGCTGGCTCTATCTGTGGCATCCATGGTCCCTAATGACTATCGGGAACCATTTAGAGTCAGTTAACAAATGCATGCTAGCACTGCAACATTTTCTCTGGGCGTCTAGGCATTAATGACCTCTGGTCATTAAAGGATTCATGTCCAACTCTAGTCTCCCCTCTATGTGCCCTCTACCCTGGAGACTCCCCCTGTGTTTGTTATCCTTTTTCTTCCTTATTTGCTCCTTTTTTTAGAAGTCTTCAGGCTGGCTGCATGATCTCCTGGATTTTGTTCTTATTCTAGTGGTGGGAAGTCCTCAGTGATGCTGAAACTTCATCATTATAATATGAGTGCATGATGTTGTTATGATGCCCCTTTAAGGGGTGAGTCCATGACGCCTTACACTCAAAGTACGTCCTCTGTTTCCAGGTTGAGTCATGTAACTTGAAAGACTGAGGACGTCGTGTGGTGGAGAAAAAGGTACTGCTGTAGACAGAACCAGTAGCTTTTTTCCCCCCTCATTTTTACTGCTGGGGGACCACAATATAAAAATAAAACTAGTCTGAAGTTGGGCTTTAATTTGAGTCTACTCTTCTGATCTTTTTTCCCCTGGCCTGTGCAATTTTTATTTGGGATTATTCTTCCGATTGGTTCTCCTCCGTGATCTGTGTTTGCTTCTTGCCCTGGGACATTTTTCCTGCCTGTGACCCCAGTCTGTCTTTTGGTTCCTTATGTGTCTGCCAGGGCCGTAACTACAGATCATGGGGCCCCATAGCAAAAATGTGATGGGGGGACCCCCGATGACCTTTCTCTGAGCTCTTAGTAATGATGCCAAGATGCTAGACTCCTCTTGTGCATCTGAAGTTGTCTCTACACTGTAGACTTTGCAGGGGATTAGAGTTGTTGTCAACTGCAACCAGTCCTACTCTTGCAACCTAATTGGGCCCCCTCCCATCCCCAGGCCCCATAGCAGCCACCTGGGCTGCTATGACTATAGTTACACCACTGGTGTCTGCTTTTTTCTTATTCTACCTGCATTATAATACCCTCTTCTTGCCAGCAAGTCTTCCTGGATGTCCCATTTACCGGATGATTTGGAGATTTGTTTGGTTTTATTTATTAAATTCCACATTAAAGCTATACTTACTTTATCAAGAATTCCCATGCAGAGGGATGGATATAGTGTATATAGGATAGCATTAAACACTAGGAACCAAGCATCGAACACTGGCTGATTAGTAAAAAAAAAAAAAATATATTAAAAAATACACTTAAAGCTGAACTCCAAGCAAACCACTAAATACACAGATAAAACACATATATGAGAGCTGTTTTCCCTGCCAAAGTATTTATATTTCTGTCCATCCGGTCCTGGGCTTTAAACAGCTCTGCCACATAGCACAGCTCTGTCTGACAGTGTAGGATACCTGATTTTTCTCTGCTGCAATTTTATTTCCACTCACATCCTGTGTGTGGGCATTGAAAGGAGCAGCATACTGATGAGCTAATCTCCTCCTGTCAGCATGCTCTCTGTGCTGGAACACATCAGATTGTTTCACTGTACAACTTTTACCTCCCCCAGTCTAAGCTATTTTGTACAGTAGAGTGCAAAAGCCTGATACCAAGTCACATTGTGTTTATGCACTTGCACCGCTTGCATGCCAAAAAAACAGCCACAGCGGTCAATTACAAATTACACAGTAGCAGGAGGAGGAAGGGAAAGGGCAGCCAGAAAGAGAAGAATCTGGGAAATGTTCTCCTGCACACAGCTACCAATTACAGATGTTGTCATGGTTGGGGGAGCTACAGCAAAGGGCAGCCACAAGGAGAAGAATACGGGTCTAGGTGCCGCTGGAATATGCCCGGTTCATCTCTAGTCTGTCTAGGGTATGATCTTCAGCTGCCCACCCATCAGCATTTAACCGCAAAATCCTCAGCAGGAGAGACACCATTGTTCTGTTTCTCTTCCTCTAGCAGCAACACAGGCCTTCTCCATGGGGGCCCCAGGGAAGCATTTCCCACACACCAGCCTATGCCCCCCCAGACCTCAGGCCTAGCCTGGGGGGTAGCTGGACAGCATCCAGCCCTAATCCATTGCAAATCCCTGCAGGATATGTACCCTATCCCAGCATGCACCACTGGTTGAGAGAAACCCAGTGATTGGCTGCTGTACTGCACTCCGCCCAGGGGAGTACAGGCAATACCAGACACCTGGAATTAACCAGATAAATGCCACTATAATCCAACCAGGCTGACTACAGCCCTGGCAATCAGTAAGGGGGTTATTCATGTAGGAGCCGTAGCTTCGGCTGATCTTTCGGCTCTCTTCGGGCCACCGGAGCCCGTACAGGCAGCCGAGCGGCTCAGCCAAGCCGAAGGCATATGCTTCGGCTCGACTGAGCCAAAGTGACACCCGAAGCGGGGCGAACGGCCTGCCGAAGGCCGGCTGTAAGCCCTGCAAATGACAGCTAGGTGGACCCTCACGGCTGGCTCCGCCCGATCTCCTGGCTGGCTCCGCCCAGTTGTTATGACAGATCAGCGTCCCCAATTAAACTGGGGAGACTGATCTGCCATTAAATAATAACTTTTGGGCGGAGCCGTCCGTGACGTCACAGCCGATCCAGATGTCGGATCGGCTGAGTCGAAGTCCTTCTTCACTTCGGCTCAGATGAGCATGAGCAGAGCATGTTCGGCTGACCGACGTGCAGCTGATGTACAGCTGATTCCAGCCGATGTACGAGGAACAGCCGATGTGGTGGATGAACAGCAAAGGGCAGCCTGAAAGAGAAAAATCAGTGAGCAGTTCTCCTGCACACAGCCTCAGCTACAAATTGTGTAGTGCCTGGGGGAGGAGAAGCAGAGGGAAGGTGGAAAAAGAAGAATATGGGAGTAGTTCTCCTGCACACAGCCTCACCTGCTATTTACAGATGTTGTAATGGCTGGGGGCACAACAGCAAAGAGCAGCCAGAAAGAGAAGAATACGGGAACAGTTCTCCTGCACACAGCCTCAGCTGCCAATTACAAATAACATAGTTGTAGGGTAGCCAGAAATAGAATAATCTAATATCCAAATTTTTATGTTTTTGCAGCCTGTAACGGTGTAATAAATAAATACAATATTTGCCCAGAGGGGGAAATCTGGTGTACAAATAAAATACTATTATATAAAAGAATATAAACAATTGTATAGCAGTGAATATTACTTACCAGAGAAGTGAACCCATTGAAGAAAGCAAACCAGATGTTGTGAACGAGACTGGAAAAGGTCTTATAGTTGTAATAGCATAAGAACTTGGAAAATCGAGCATAGGACAATCTCCCGTGGAAGAACAGCAGGTTTTGGAGGTAAGAGAACTGAGCCAAGGCAAATTCACTAGCCAAAACAGCCTGGAGACCTTCCTTCCCAATCACCCCTACACCAATGTGGGCAGCTATAAAACAGAGTACACAGAATGTTATAGTTGTGCCTGACTAAAACCCAAGCTACATGGCGAGTCTAGGTTGAGAGAATGGGGAAGTTGTGGTCAACACAGTGCCATCCTCATTTTCCCCAAAAGTCACCAGATATGAATTTACAAAAATCTGCTACATTTTACTTACAGAAGACAAATCCATACAGCGATGAACTTACTCTTTATCATATTGACGTCATTGCCTCCGTCTCCTATAGCAAGGGTCGTAACCTTTTTGTTCGTCTTCACCAGCTGCACTATGTTGGCCTTCTGCTTTGGTGTCACTCTACAACAAATGACACACTGACACCGACAAGCCAGCTCCACCAAGGCTCTTGTTTTCAATGTGGAATTTCTATCTGCTAAATGTTCTTTTTTCTGTTTCGAGATCAACTTCTTCCACCAGGGTAATGTTGACGATGTTTTTTCATTAACGTTTATGAATCCATTCTAGGGGAAAGGATGGTGCTGCAATTACTAGTTAAAAAAGGATTACATGTAAACAGATATAAAGATGACCAACAACATACTGAAGATTTTTAGGTTTCGTGCTTGTATGCAAATTCTTAACACCCCAGAGGGCCTACAAATGAGGCTCAATGAAAAAATTTACATATACACCGATACACTACATGGCCAAACGCTGGGCCACCTGACCATCACACCACGGAGAACATTCCAGTCCAAAACCATGGGCATTTAGAGTTAGCCCTACTTTTGGTTACCACAGCTTTCACTAATCGGGGAAGGCTTTTCATGAGATTTTGGAATGCATGTGTGTAAATTTGTGGCTATTCAGCCAAAAGAACATTTGTGAGGTTAGGTTCTGATGTTAGACGAGAAGACTTGACTCAGTCAGCTTTCCAATTCATTCCAAAGATGCCAAACCATATCTTTAGGAGCTGGCTTTGTGCACAGGAGCACAGTCATGCTGGAACAGAAAAGGGCAAGGTTCTTTCCTCCAGTTGTTGCCATAAGGCTTGAAGCATACAGTGATGGTAACGAGGCCTGGTCACCCCAAAAAACTATTTAGGAAACCCGCTTATCCCCTCAGTTTGTTGAAATTCAGCACTTCTAGGCACGATTAAACCAGACTACCTATTAAACACATTTTTTTGACAGAGTCTTCAAAAGCTCTTCAATTCCACTATAATTGCAGAGCTGGAAAATCTCTGTGTGGGGTGAGGTTGTAATTGGCGTCATCACATATTGTTGGCAGCACAAACTGAACTGCCATTTGTCACACAAACAATTGTTTAAAACATCTTTGTGTGCTGTAGGACTAATGGCACCCTTCACTGGAAAGCACCTGAACTCGATAATTTGGAGGGGTGGCCAAATAGTGTATACCTGAAACAACACTGTGGAAGAAAATAATTGGCCATCAGTAGGAGATAAAAATACCCCCTTACATTGACGGTCAGTGGAAGGAAGACTGACCCCTTGAATTGGAGTTGGAAAGCGGAAGACTGACCTCTTCATTTGGAGGTCAAAAGGAAAACCACCGGACTCCATAATTTGCAGGTCAGAATGAAAAAGACCAACTCACCTTAATTTGGAAGTCAGTAGGAGAAAGACTCACCCCTTAATTTGTGAGGTCAGAAGGAAGAAAACTAATCCCTTACTTTGAAGGTCAGTGTAAGGAAGACCAAACTGTGGAGGATTGCAATGAAAGTACCCTACCAACAATCAGTGTCCAAGTAAAAAGTATATTTCCTTTATGACTGTAAGACTTGCTGATTTTGAGCACTCATTAGCATTTCTGTGTTTTTCAAGCCCAGCACCACACTAAGGAGTCTATTTATAACCAATTTGCAGAGACATTTTCCCTACAAATCTTACTGGATGTTTGTTCTGAGCATATACAGGTGAAACTCGAATAATTAGAATATCGTGCAAAAGTAATTGCAGTAAGTGCTGCAAAAGGGGCCCAAACCAAGTACTGAGTACATATGCATGCTTGTACTTTTCAGAGGTCCGATATTGTTCTATGTACAATCCTTGTTTTATTGATTGCATGTAATAATCTACTTTTTTGAGGTTGTGGATTTGGGGTTTTTATGAGCTGTAAGCCATAATCACAATTATGACAAATCCCAGCTTGAACTATCTTGCTTTGCATGTAATGAGTCTATCTCATAGATTAGTTTCACCTTTTAAGTTGCATTAGTGAAATAAATGAACTTTGCACGATATTCTAATTATTCGAGTTTCACCTGTAGATGCAAAAACTAATGTCATTATATACTGTATATTTTCTTTTCCAGTCAAATACACTGAGTGGCCAGATTATTATGACCACCCCATCAGTACTTCGTTGGGCCACGAGATGACTCCACGAGATGACTTCGTTGGGCTGCCTCGTGACTCCATGAGATGTTGAAAGGTGATGCGAGGAATCTGACACTGCCACTCTCCGTTCTGCCCTAACATTGACTAGTCGCTGACGCCACAATTCGCACGTTCAGACCCAGATTTTCGGCTGACAGTCCAGTCTTTAAACACTTTACCAACAGCTGCTCTTGAACATTTAACCAATTCTGCTATTTTGCTGATACTCGCTCCATGGCTCCGAGCGCCAACAATCATCCCACGTTCAAAGGCTGTTAAATCGCGTTGTTTAGCCATATCTTCAGAAAAAAAATCACTTCTACTGTCGTGGTAAACAACCTGCTTCCCTATTTATAATGGTCTGGCCCTCTAGCAACTTCAGCGCAAAATTATAGCCAATTATAGCTAATTTGCCTACAAATGTCAGGTGGTCATAATAATCTGGCCACTCAGTGTTTATGTAATGTAATACATTATGACCTTTCAAAAAATCTGATTCTTTTATGAACTGTCGGATGTGCGGCTCTATATTGGAATTTTAGGATTTTGTTACGCCGGCAGGTATGCTTAGAACCTGCACCTGATTGATGTGACTGGTTGAGTTGTAGTTCAACTTTGGGGATTGAGCGGTGTATATTTTGAAATTCAATGAATAATACTACATTATGGTTACTAGATGAAGCCGAGGAGCATAAAAATAAACACTTTCTGTACTTATTTCCTATATGCCTCAGCTCCAACTACTGGCCAAAATGTGGTATTGCATAACAATGCATTTGAACTGGAAAAAATATATTAAGAACATTTGTTTTTGGAATTACAGTAATCTCCCCAAAGGAACGTTCATAGATATTGGAAGGGCCCTGTGAATTGTTTATAAATAGACCCCTATGTCACACTATGTACAAAGCTGTGTTATGTTACCAAAAATTCTCCTGTAATGACCAATGCTTTCATATTCCATTCTTTATCCACGGCAGGATCAATGTCTTTTAATGTGGTGTCTATATTGTCATTCAACAGGTTAGCATCCAGGAGGCACCTAGATAGTGTTGGAAGAAAAGATACATTAATATACAGTATCTGCTGTGGATCAACCTATATTATAAGGGACCAGTCATGATGTAGAGACACCTGTCTGAGAAACTTTAGATGAAAGAAGTCCTTATCTTTGTTCAGCTACATCTACAAGTATGAAAACCCAGAGAATAGCCTTAAAGAAACCTGCTGGAATAGAAATATGGGAGATACTATTGCCGATTTGTATTTAAAGTTTAACTCTAGTTGTACAGAGCATACAAATTGCATTGGCCAGCATGAGCTAAAATACAATACAGCAGCCTCGGCTACGATGCATACAATATCTCCGGCACTGTTCCCTACAGATTCACCGCTCCTCTTCTAGGAGGAATGATACCCAGCATCATTCAACCGACTTCCTGTAGGACTTGGGTGCCAAGAGACTGTCCTTTCCCCCCCAGACTTATAAGGAAAAAGAATGACCTCTCAGGTGGTGAGGTGTTTCTGAATGTTTTAGAATACACATTACTGTGTTTATTGCAGTGGTCTCAAACTCAATTTAGTCGGGGGCCACTGGATACATTTTTTAGTTCTGTGCGGGCCGCTACTATATACATAATAAACCCACCCCTCCCTCCCAAGCCCCCAGCACACATATTAATAAAGCTCCCCCCTCCCTCCTTTCCTTCCAAGCCCCCTCACCTGCTGGCATCTGTGCAGGGAGGAGGCACATCATCATTCCCTGGTGATCTAGTGGTGATTAGTAAGGTCTGGTGCAGACCTTACTAATCATCCATCAATCGGCCAGAGCCCGGAACTGTCAGAGCTCCGGCTGGAGCTGGCAGGAGCTGCTCTACAGTCTGCATCCAATAGAGACTGCTCTACAGTCTGCATCCATGTGCCCGACTTGTCAGCTGGCTGCGGGCCACATAGTACCGGCTCGCAGGCCGGTACTTTAAGACCCCTGGTTTATAGCAAAAACTTCTGCAGTATACAATTTCGGTCACTAGATGGCAGCGTTTATAAGTTCTGTTATAGAGTATCTATGGTATATACTCTGTTGTATTGAAAAAAGGTAGAGAATAAAGCTGTGGCTTCCTTCGTTTTTCCAAGCCATGTGCAGCATGCATATCTGATATCTGTGCTTGTGTTTCTCCGTGAGGCTGTGCAAGAAGTTCCAACAGAATGCTGTGAAGAGAGGTCACACTTCTGTATACAACATTTAGGATCTTCCCACTGCCGGAGAGAGAAGGGGATAAACAGGACCTGTGACATTACCCAGACACCAAAAGACCACATTGGTAGGAATTTGATCCTGAACCCAGAGTCGAGCTTTAAAGAAGCACATTACATGGCTGTGGTTCTTGTCCTTGTTTAACAACTTGCAGAGTCACTGACCTGGAATATGGAATAAGCATGCATCCAGAAATGTCTCGGGACACCTGCCATGCACATATTTATCAGTCACACACATAGGGATCTATTTTTAACCAATTTTCAGAGCCATTCACCCTACGAATCTTTATGAACATTCATTCTGTGCGAATTGACACAATAAACAAACGTTAGATATATTTTTCTTTTTTGTTCGGCATTAGATGGAGCTGAGGAGCATAGGAAATAAATACTTATTTCCTATGCTACCCTAAGTGCTAAAAGCAGAATTCAGATGACAGCCTTAGAGCTTTTATCTTTGACAAATCAGCAATAGCAACTCCCGTGTTTCTTTCCTGGCAAGTTCTCTTTAAGATGGGCTTTGAAAAAAGGGGGCCATGCCACCTAAATGGCATTTTTCTTATGCCTGCTGTTTGACGTGGCCAAAGTCCTACCTTATATCAGACTCGTCCAAAAGCTGCATGTTGCTGGAAAGAAGGTTACAGGAATATGCTATGTTTATAGCCGTCTCTGCAAAAAAAAAAAAAA